GCTCTGCAACACCTTGAAAACCCAAGCATCATGTATGGTCTGAGTGCTCACCAGCACCTGCTGTGAGTCAGAGCAACACACCAGCTTCTGCACAGAGCCACAGATGCCTCACATCCTGCTTCCAGATCATTTGTGAGGATTTTTCTCCCTCTTGTTCCCATTTCTCTGTCCACCATATCCAACATAATCACTCAGCCTTACTGATAAGGAAGCCACTTATCTGCTTCAAAACGTCCACTATAAACAACTTGCTTTGAAAGAGCACAGAAATTCTCCCCCACATCACACCTCAGTGTCACTTACCCAACAGGGTAACCACACTCAGCTGGATGCCCTCAAGATATTACTCAGCTTTCTTCAAAAATTGCTAAATTGTGATAAAATACAGAACACAGACTAAGACCATCAGCCTAGACCAAATAGGAAGAAAGGATGTTAATGACATATCACTGTCTTATCTGGAAATCAAATCAGTGATCTATAACTTACAAATAATTTTCTTTCATTATAGTTCACCTGAATCACCCAGGGTCTACTCACAGTATTTAAATTTTTATTTTTACTTTTTTTATTATATGCAGGTTTGGGGGTTTGTTTCCCTCCCCCCAAATCTTCCAAAGAAACTGAGCAACAGAACTCTGCATTCTCTAAAAGTAATGTTTTTAATGCCTAGTTAACTGATTCAATACACGCACTTCTTAAATTAACACTAAGACTGTATTTTCCTATGGAAAAAGATGAAGCTGCATCATTTAAAGTATGTTGGAAAGAGGTGAAACATTAACCTAATTTACAAAAAAGTGCTATGAGAAAGCTTACTTGGTTCCTAACATATATTCACACATATAAAATTAAATTAAGATACTCGGACAAGATGTTAACCTACCTCACAAACCCACATGGGCTTCTCTACCGAAATCAAGAGTTTAAAAACAGTCAGAACCTGTCAAAATATTTTTTATTCATGTCTTTTTCTGCTAATGCTAATCTTTTGATATTCCCTAAGCTTTCTGCCTTTTGCTGGCCTAATGGCAGAGAGAGAACCAAAATGCTAAAGCTTTCCTTTCTCCTATAAATTTGGTGATTTGACCTGTCAGACCAATTGTTCTTCAAGACATTTCACAAATTTCCCTGTAAGTCCTCTTTCCCAAGACAGGCTCTTGGGAATCTGACCTCTTTTGCACCACGTACTGAGACTAGAGAGAGTTTTTCTTACCAGTGAGATTGATTGCGCAGTATTCTCACAAGACTATACAAGCTTTTATTTCTGAATAAGCTGGCCTATGGCATCCCCATCAGCTTACATCTCAATGTAACAGTTCTCACTGACTTGGGTTGCAATTTGTGTGATTTTGTGTTCTATCAGTTATGAACTCCCATATTACACATACAGGAAAACACACAATAAGAGACTTAAGCTTTCTGAAGCCACCTTACAAGATGTTTTCATAAACAAACATATTGTATGCTGCACAAATTATTCAGATCAACTCTTCTTTGTCAGAGACATTCCAATGAGCTCCCAAAAGCAGAGACGGTCTTTGCTGTCTGTATTCTGTTTCTAACAAAGGCAGCTTTGTTCCATCAGAAATGGCTTTGTCATGCATTAGAAGCCTATCTTGGTGTTTCTGGAGAGTTTCCATTAAACATGTTCTAAGTCAAAGTTCCTAGATATAAGCTTTAAGCAATTTTGACTAAAGATAATATTTTTATCAGTTCACGTTCTTTAGCTCACCAAACTTTTGTCTGAACAACCAAAACCACAGATAACTACACTCATACTCAGATTTTATATTTTGAAGTAAAGGAAAGGCTCCTTAAAATATAGCATAATGGGACAGATGCTCAATTTTATAAAATTGTAATAACAGACGGATGGATTTTGCTAGCTTTACAGACCTTGAAAATGGGAAGCGATAGTTTGGAGATACCAAGGAAGAGGCTTCTGTTTTAAAATCACTTTCATTATTTACACAAATGAGGTTGTAGAAAGCTAGCACAAAGTTTTGTTATAGTTTAACAGTATTGCATAACTCAGGAAACAAAGTATGTTTTCATTTAAGTTCGAAAAGGAGTTACGAATCCTGTTTTTACTCCAAGTTATTAAAAAAAAAAGACTTCTTAAACCATTAGACTTTCCAGACAAGAAAGAATAAGATTGTAATTTTAGGCTAGTGTGGTATTTTTCCATTCTTTCTTCCCCACCCCCCCCACTTCCTTTTAAGACTATTAATCAAAAGGGTTTTAAGAATTCCCCTAAAAATATTGCTCTCCCCACCCCCATCTCTGCTTTAAATATTTTAAATGAGAAATTTAAAAGTGGATTTAATGATTTGGAAGGCTTATTCAATACAGGGAACACACACCTATTCACACAGCTATACTACTATGGTCAGCTGTGTCTTACAGAAACAACCCAAAGGAGAGGCAAAGTCTGCAGGCTAATTAAACCTTCGATTTCTATTAAGCTATCTAAAAAAGATGGCAATTACCCCCTAATACATGATGGTTCTGTGACATCAACAGTTGTCTAGCAAAAAAAGGGCTCATGATACTTTACTTTTACAATTCACATTTCATGTAAGGAGAAGCCTTTAAAAAGTACTATTCCTTGAACGTAAGTACTTTGATAACCTGCACTCCCTGACAACACTGCTGCCGTACAACTCCCATTCCTGTGGTGGCTGTGGATTCAGAAAATACCCAGCTTCTGGCAAAAGACCTCAACTATAAGAAAGAGAGAGAAACAAAAGGGAACAGGGGGATGCAGAAATGAAGGTATACCGAATAAGTCCAAACGTACAGCTATTATATAACTCCTAAATTAGGTTTGCACTTACTATTGCATAAACTTCAGAAGACACAAAATCAAACTGCTGCACAACAGAGGTAAAATTCCACAGACTTCGTGGTGCTTCAGAGAAATAGGAGCCAAGAAAGGACATTACCTTGACTGAGAACATGAAACTTGAGAAGTTCCACAAAGGTAAATACAGGTTTAATACTAAAGAATTCAGAACATCACAATTTCTACAAGAAAGAAACAAAGGGGACAAAAGAAAAGGGAACAACAACAACAAAAAAAAAACCCCAAAACTGAAAAGGTGGGAAGGACTGACTCCAGAAATCTTCCTAGTCTGACAGATTCCTTACCCAACCATCAGCCCCATTCCTGAAATGAAGCTAATATTTTTCTGTTCCACAGGTAGAAAGAGATGCATTTAAAGTTGCACAGTGCTACGGTTCAGATCAATTGGTATCTTAACTAGGCCATGTACATTCTTTAGCCATTGTGCTTGATTTCAAACTGGAAATAAGGTATAAGAAAAGAAGCACAGACATTTTTATTTTTTGATTACATAGACCACAGAAATTCACCTGCTCATACTGCCATTAACCAGGCTAGGATAACAGATTATAACAAAGCAAACCCTCATTCAACAACTTTTTGAAATAGCGTTTAAAGTATTCATAACTCTGAAGTACACTGCGAGTGCACATACATATGCATGTCCCATATTAAATAACGCTGGTAGTAATTATCAGCAATCATAAAACAGACTTTTCAGCATTTGTATCGTGTAAGATCTGCCAACATTTTTCATTTGGCGCTAATTGTAGTGTGTCCATTTTTCTTGTTCTCGACTTTGTACTGAAAAAACTTATAAAAAAAACACAGCACATCTTTTTAAAAGAAATACAAGTCCCTGGTGTCAGGTGCTATGGCGTGCACAACACCGCTCATAAACAGTAAAATGCCTAAGCTGTTTACATAAAAGATACCACAGTCACACAGTATGCTGCACATTGAGTACTCAGTAGAAAGTAAACAGTGATTCAACTGATTAAGGAAAACACTGGCAAGAGTCAGTTCTTAAGGGCAAGTATGAAACTCTTGCTCAATTTTTAAGTTTCATAAAAGCAGACTAAGCTTAATTTGACAGACTGCAAAGACTAGGTATGACTGCTTAATGTATCAACACTTAGCTTAGGAACTGTTTAGATTTGAAGGATGCTTATTTCTACTAAAATACACTATGTTCTTTCCTTCCCTACTGATTTTCAGAGAAACTAACACCATGCCTATCCCATTGAACGTGAGCTCAAACATAGTGGCAAGGTGAGCCTGTCAAACTCATGTGCATGTTCACTGTTATTTGCATTTTCCATCTTCAAACTAGCATGACAGTTTTGGAAGAAATCGTTACCACTCCAAAATGGTTACCTGAGATTCCAATAAAAAACTTGCTTTTATGTTCAGTTATTAAAATAATAACCAGGTATCTCCAGTTCAGCCTACCTGTAAGGTCTCCTTACTAAATCAGTACAGCCAGAAAAGTAAAGAACTGTTCAACTTTAAAAACAGAAAAGCTAAGATTTTTCCAAATAAGAGCAAGATACCTTGGAGAACAGAGTGTAGGTAAGGCATAGCCTGAGTCTGCAAATACTACCATATATCATAGACAGTACTAACGAAAGCTCTACTATTCAAGGAGCTGCCAGTGAGGTGTATAAGGAAACCATAATCCAAATAAATAGGGGCTTACTCATATTACAAAAACAGAATCTATGGTTAGCAAAATAAAACCTTAGCTGGGTGGATTATATGAAATGATTCTTTAGCACTGCAGAGCACATATATTTTGGTGCTCTGAAAGAAGAGAAAATCAAATTCCATTCTAATTTATTTACAGCTTATAAAAAAACTAAGTCTCTGCATATTAACACATGCAACATTTGACTTCTCATTCTCAAACTGTCAGGCCTAAATTTTTGTTGAATTTGCCACCTTGCAGCTGTTTCTTCATTTTGTGGTAACAGTAAAGACACTATTTTGTATACTACATTTCATCACTTGCTTGAAAGGTATTTTGACTACTAGTTATTGACCCTCAGGTATAATTAAAAAGTATTGTAGATAATTTAAATTTATAATTGCTAAATTTTAAATTTTAAAAGTATACTTTTTAAAAAATGTAGACATTTATTGCTACACTTACTTTTTGCTTGCTTCGTAAACATCTGTGATATTGGAGAAAAGGTGATGGCTCTCCGTTTTGGTCATTGTGAGACTCAGTTCCCTGGAATTTTTAAACATCCGGATCAGAATCTCCAAGCTCAGCAAATAAGAATGCTCAGAAGATATCACTTCAAATATTGCCTGCGAAGTGGAAGGGGAAAGAAGAGACTTACTATTGACTAGGCTTTTTTTTTTTTTTTAAAGAAAATGTGGAGGAGGGGTGCAAAGAAAAGTTATTGGATGTGAGCTAGAGATTATAACATAAATATTGATTTCCATGACAGTTGCATCATTTACTTAGAAATAAGTGATTTAATACTAGAAAAAAAACTTTTTAAAAAAGTCTATATTCAGACTTTTCAATGCAACTGCAAACAGAGAGTTTGAAGACAAAAACTTAACAACAACTATGATAACTCCCCATTCATACTCCTGAGAGGTGGTTTTGTTTTGGTTTTTAATTAAAAAACCCATGTCTGTTTTTGTGGTCCAGTTGGAAGCTTCATATCAGTCATACTACTGTTGACCAGCCAGTATTTGCTTTTGCGTTTTTAAACAGAAGCTGGTAAGTTACTTACTTGAAAGCATTCTTGGGTAACAAAGCTCTGCTTACCCAAGCATTTGCAGAAAAGCAAAACCCTTTGCAAAATTCAGGTTTTAGTCATATATCAGCAGTGATACCTTGGTTACTTTTAAAACATCAAGTTAGGAGCAGGCACATGAGAAGCTGAGCTATCTACAGCAGGGAGAGAAGCCTAGAGGCAGAGCAGACAGGAGGGGGTGGCAGCCACTATCGCCTTTAGTGATTAGTGACCAGACACCAGACAGGCAGACCTCCAGTACATTCCTTCACCTCCCACAAACAACAACTCTGTTTTATCACCCCTACCACTTAAAGACTAGCCACTGTAACTTCCATCAGCTGGCTGACATACAAAGCAAACTTTTAATGGACTCTTGGACTTTGAAATCCACATACTTGTTCCATTGGAAATTTTCATCTCTGATGTAGAAACCTATTCAGCTTTTAGATATCTTTTACCTCTCTAGGCTTTATTTGCTGTTAATCAACTAGAGTTCTTATATGTATATACGTAGAAAAAAATTAAATAATTTTCATGAATGCTTTTGTCGCTAGCTCCACCAAGTCACATTTGTCATCAGTGCTACCTTCCAGGCATTACTAACACAGAATAATACCATCAGCAGAGCTAATATAACTTTGTTCTCAATATAACTAAAGTTAATACTTGCATGTATAATTTATTTAGGTATTTGCAACTAACTTCTCTAAGCATTCTCAAACCAAGGGAGAAATATATACTTTAAATGCAACAGTGCAGATTGAGTATTTAGCAAGGCTAATGCCCATGGCTCTACAAACACAGAAAGAGACAAAGAGAGGGTCTTGCAGCTGACAGTCTACAGGAGTTCACTTACGATGTATGTGCTCTACAGAAACCCTGTTCTTCCATGAGCAGGTATAAAGGCAAGGGAGACTATAGGCAGGTTGAAGGCAGTCTTCCTGAATATTCCCAACTGCCAACTGAGACAAACCATATTGGGGAAAAAAACCACAAAACATTCTGCTGGGGACATTTGTTCGTAAGATTTCTTAGAGTTCAAGTCTGGTGAATTCTGCTGGTGTTACTAAGGTAACCTTTTGATCAAACACAATTTCTCATGGGTATCCCGAGTCTCAGTGTTCCCAGGCTGTGCTTTCAAAATTATTCCTGCCCTTCTAAAAAGTCTTCTTCAAAGAACTGAGATTTTAATAATGAAATAACAAGTTTTGGATTTCTTAGAACAAAACAAAACAAAAAAAAAATCTGCTTTAGCTAAAGCCTCAAAGGTTTATGCAGTGCAAGGAAGATTTATCAACTCCACAGAAAAACCTACAGGGCCATTATACATACAAGGAAAGGAAGTCTAATGTACATTATCAGTAGTCTCTCCATCTTATTACCTACCTAAAAAGCTGAAGGGATCTGGTGAGAGACAGCAGCAGCTAGATAACAGCTACAACATGCTATGTGTTACTCACAAGAGTGAATACTGCTGTGCAAAAAGATATGCAAAGGTGATGCTTAAAATAATGTTAAACTGCCTGCCTGCCAACTCTGTCAGCCTCAAGAATCTAGAGAACATATACAAAGGTCAGCCAAACTCTGGCGGCAAATCTACCTACTGCTTGGCTAACAATGTGCAGAAAGATAACTAAAAAGGGCATTTTGGCTTCTGCCCAGCAATTATATTTCCAATCTTCAGCCTCATTGTACTTCTCCCAGCTGTGCTCACAAAAAAAGGATTTACCTAAGGATTGCTGTAGAGTCCCATGACTGATTGGGACCAGACATTTTTCAACACAGGAAAATATACAAGCTCTCTTATTATTATTGTTTTGTAGGGGGGTTGTTTATGCTTTTACTGAGGACCCTCATGGACTTCTTCCAGTTTGGTGACAAAGTCATTAGCATAGTCAGAAATAAATAGGACAAAGAAAGATACTTTGCTTCTAATATGTAAGGAAGGGAGAGAATATCATCTTACCGTGACCCAAACACATTTCAGAGAATAAAAAATAAAAAAGGATTAAGAAACAACCTTGACTTTGACATACAGTAACTACACCACATTCAGAGGCTGGGCTGGCATTTACCAGGTGCTTGCTAACAGTGTTTCTGAATGACATCTGAAACCATATTGTGGTTAATTTGCATTGTATCAAAGTAAGCAGATATGAGTAAGCGGCCAGATGCATACTGCAGTTTGTACACACATACACAGTTAAGACTTTCCAGCTTGCAAGAAAAGATGATCTATCAAAAATCATTTCAGTTCAAAACAGTCTGTCTATATGACATTTTCTTTAGACAAAAGATGCACAGAGATCCATCTCACTAATGTGTTCTGAAAGATGGATGTGTATGAATGCATGATGTTGACATTCAATCAAGGTATAAAGCAAACATTTTTCTGCAGTGACAATATATTGTGACGGCAAAAATAATCTAATAGGCTCTAAAAAGCAATTTAAAGAATAGATAAAGAATAATTGATAAAAGGCAATTTAAAAGAAAAACAGCAAAAGCACAACTTGGTAGTACAACTATATCTTAAGAATATTTATTTAGGCTCCCTCTGAAAGAATGGGCCTCTAATATTCAAATAAAAAAACACCTCAAGCTTGAAAACATTTTTGGTAACGTTAAAGACTTCACATTTAGAAGGCATCTAAAGGACTTGTTCTCTTTGAAAGGATGTAAATATGACTCCAGGTAACATAGACTAAAGTTTCCTAAAGGATATGACTGAAATATAAATGCATTCTGTCTCAAAGCCTCCCAGCAGGAGGAGATAGAAAAGCAGAACACATGGCCTGAACTGCTGCACAGCCTCTTCCCCCCAAAAAAAGCAAAAGACGACAGCCAAAGAAATACAGCATTATAAAAAAAAAACCCAACAACAAACTATTGTCTAAATCTATTGTATGCAATACAAGATGTTTCTGTATTTCATGTATGAACACAACAGCTGTAGGTCACGCAGCTAAATTAATATTTGAGGCTTGCTATACACATCTGTGAACTTCACAGAAAACCCCAGTCAGGTCTCACTTGGCTACATTCATAGAATCATAGAACCATAGAATCATAGAATAGTTTGGGTTGGAAGGGACCTCTAAAGGTCATCTAGCCCAACCCCCCTGCTGTGGGCAGGGACATCTTCAACTAGATCAGGTTGCTCAGAGCCCCTGATCTAGTTGAAGACGTCCATTGAGGTATGCCCTGAAGTGAAATGAAGACACTGGAAAAAATTTCCATGGCAGGTAATGCTAGTGTTTCTATTCAAAAAAACTTGGGTCTTTTTGCTATTGAAGGACATACCTCAAGAATTGCAGGTATATAGTTGGCTAGGTCAGGCTATTCTTTTCAACACCTCTCATTCATTTTGATATAGCCCCTGTAAGTAAGGAAGGAGGGTAATGCAGATAAAGTGGACAAAAGGAGCAAAGAGGAAGAGGAAAGTAGATCAAGAGGACAAAAGGAGCAAAGGGGAAAGAGACAGAGAGAGAAAAGATAACTACATCAGTAATTGCTGCTGTTGTCTGTACTGTTGACAGCATGGATGCACTTACTCCATTTCAGTGTGAAAGGAAAAAGGTTAGTTACACCAGATACACAGTGCTTGCATGTTCAGAATTGTTCACAGGATTAGTTACAACTAAGGGGCATTGTAAAGAGCTGTTCTTTGTTCCTCACTGCCTTTAAAAATTCATGCACCACCTCCTACCCTCTGTGAATGCAAGGTTAATTTTATACCTTCCCTGGTACAGCACACAGCAGTGACTGTCTGCTGCTACTGAGTAGCCATCAACCAGGCTGTATCTGCTGGAGTGAGCATACCTAGGAACCACTCCTCCAGCAAGACCCGCAGCATGTTGGCAGCAGACCCGTGGCAGGGACATAGGCACATCAGCAATAGACACGTTTTGTTTATTTATTCTCTCTGGGGAGAGAAGGCACTTCACTCTAGGACAGGAAGCAGTGTGATGAACTTGTCTCCTTATCAACAAATAGAGAGTATTAAATCAGGCATGCAGTGCACCCCTAAAAAATCAACAAAAAGGAATGTGTTAGTTTAAAGAGTACCTCCTGTCTTTTTCTTTCTTCCTGGCTGATCCCTTCTGATAATCCATTCTTCTTTACCTAAGAAAAAAAAAAAATTAAATTTTTAACATCTTTTGTAGAAAAATACAATTAAAAAAAAAAAACAAACCACCCACAGAATTATCAAAACATTGGACTAAGAATCTGTCCTCTTCAGAAAGACAGCAATGAACCAGCAGAAATTAAAAAAAGTCAATAACGTCTGTCATTTGACTTATCGCAAGAACTATCCCAGGACACAATCCCAGGACACACACAGAACTACCCCAGCAAAAGCATGCACAGTTGCATCACGGTCACCCTGCACAACCTCCCTGGATTTTACACACACACAGAAGCATGAAAACTGCTTTCTCCTTTTAAGTTAGATTTCTTGACTGACACACGTACATCACATGGCTCGTTTTCCGAGTCAGCCTGAAAAATCTCAGTGTCTTCATTTGTTAAACACACCTAAAGGCCTAAACAAAATACCTAGACAGGTAGTTTGTTGGCCAAAAAATTATTCTGGAGGAGCTCCCCCTTTAGCTTAAACAGACATAGCAAAGTCATGAGTAAATACCCCTGGTATTTCTATCCTCAACCCTACGATGATATCTCTCCCCACTCTGCACCCTACAGCCAAATCAGCCAAGACATTTGCCCCAGCTCTCCATATACAACCAACATGAACTCCAGCCATAGCCACATTTTCCACAGCCTGAAGCCACGTACTCAGCTACAAAATTCCACACCAGAGACCCCTGAAGTTTATTCTTTTCTGATGCAAATCGCATGCATTATGTCATTTAACATGAGAACATTAAAAAGAAACCAGAAAGTGAAGCACCAAGGAGGGACTGACTTTATGCATTTCCCAGAGGAGTATTAAACACAGGACCTCAAATCAGGAGGGTCACCTGCATATGGCATGCTGGACCAGGGAAGAGGAAAGAGGCCACTGCACAGCGCTACACATGTAAAAGAAACTGTTCTCTTCATGGAGCAGCAGTATGTCACGGGACATGAGACCCAACATACACTTCCATTCTCCCATTTCTCTTTTGGTCTTCTCCGAAAGCTCCTAACATACTATCATCAACAGCTTTCTCTTCTTACTCTACTTGTTCCCTGGAATTTTAAAGGATATATTATTCCTGATTTTATTCTTGCGTACCAGGCACCACAAACCTGGATAGCAGGCTCAAGAGTAAAAATGGCACAACATTAAAAAGTGCTGCATGTTGGTTTGCATGCACACCAAAGTATATACACACATGTATATACTCATAAAACCAACATAAATATTCCAGTGTTCGAGCAATTGTTCTTTTGAACACAAGTTAGATTCCTATGTCACCACAAGTATACACTTCTGAATACCAAGCAAGAACTCATTAGATGCCTTTCTATTAAACTATTAAAGTACCTTTCAGTCAACAACCTGAAAGCTTTAAAGCACTCACTAGGAAGTACAACGTCACTTTTCTCTAGATGCAGTGGGGGAATTTTCTAAAAATATGCCGACACAGGAAATACCTATGAACATATCCAAGAGATTTCAATGCTTCCTGTTAATACAGCAACTGCAAATTTCCAGTGAGGTCAATGCGGCAACCACTGTATTCATGTTCAAAAAACTGTAGCTGTGTTTCGTGATCATTATTTTGTCATATATGGGTGTGTACACACAAAGTACACATATAAATTCATCACATAAGCAAATGGCTCAACCTTATATTTTTAATCAATGGCAACACTTCCAAAGAGGAGGCCCAAATACGGAGACTATCTTTGGCATACTCTGTGAAAGAAAATTAAATTCCTATTTTTTAGATGGCCAAAATGTTTTAGCTGAAAGAACCTAAAAATCACATTTGTCATAGTATGCAAACAACTTAATATAAGCTAAGAACATAACCAGAAAGAATGGAAGAGGCCTAACACTACAGCTACTGATGTTGTCTTATTGTCACGCTGGACTGCTTTTTTCCAGCAACTCAGTTATGACTGATTCAGCCATGGAGATGAGGAGGAAAGGATGAAAGAATGACTTTCATTATTCTGCGGTTACATAACTCTGTGGTTATATACAAGAAGCTCCTCCAAAATAAGGAAGTGCTGCAGGTGGGGAACACACCAGAAATATTTCTTTGAGAAATGTGATAAGTGGCTGCACCATAAACCAAATTGAACATAAGTCTTTCGACACTGGGAGAGAAATGAGAGCTAATGCAGAGATTAGCCCTGAAGACCCTTGACAGCAAAACCAAGTAGTCTTTGTTTGATACCACAGAGAAGAGGCAGCCACGGAAGGGCGACAGTGCGAGTGGCTCAGTAAAGCAACCTGCAGCAGCTTTTTAAATGAATGAGAAAAATCACAATTGCACTTGTCCCAAACCAGAGAAAGAGATGATCAGAAAAATGAAACAAGACTACCAAAGCTTGGAAAGAGTTTCAGGTTAGAGAGACAGCAGTTCAGAAAACATGCAAAATCTTGATGCAGTGCTATGTAAATACATTGAACTACTGGGCATAAAATGGAGGACTTGATGCTAAAACACCCATTTAATATTAAATACTTCCATAATTATGAGCATTACCTATGCTATGGGACATCTGTTTCCAGTGCTAATCTCAAGAATATAAGAATCATAGCAGCATTGACAGTAGTAATGAAAAGTGAACATGCATCATATTCTTCAGGCTGAACAGTAAGGACCTGGAAAAACAGACATTTAAGTTCAAAGTCCACCAGTCAGATGCAGTGGTCAAACTCTGCAACAGGTTGCCCAGGGAGGTGGTGAGGTCTCCACCCATGAAGATATTAAAAACCTGACTGGACACAGTCCTGGACAACTTGCTCTAACTGACTCTCCTCAATCAGGGGGGTTGGACAAGATGATTTCAAGAGGTCCCTTCCAACCTAACCAATGCTATGATTCGTTGCATGCACAATAATACACATTGTCATTATTCATACCAACCGAATGCTTCATTTGTTGGAAGGTAAATACATTTAATATAGCGCACAAGTTAGTATCAGTGCCTATGATCTGCTGGAAATTCTTCAAAAATATCGAGATATTTTTGGAATGTATTTTGGAAATATTGGTTATTCTCCCTAAATTAAACTTTTAAATTAACAGATGAAGGTTGGAAGGAACAGAGATAGTAGATAAGCTAGCTCTTTACCTAGTCATCTGCTTAGCTACTGCTAGCTGTCTGATCTGTAACAGGAATCTAAAGAGGAAGAGGGTTCAAGAGAGGAATTTGAAAGGAACTGGATTTAAATAGCACCCTATTTCAGAGTCTTTAAATGTTCTCCGAAAAGCTCCATCTTAGTTTCACATGTGTGCGTACACTGCAGGAAGACAGAATTTTTTTTTTTTTTTTTTTAATCATCATCATAAAGGATTTGACAACTCCATACATGAAGGTTTCACTAGCCCCATCAAATAGACAGTCTGGTCAGAACTGCATCAGCTGTCAACCCTGTATGGCCAAAGAAACATCCTGCAGAAAGAATGGATTCATTCTGCTGTCTTCCCTCGATTTCCTAGCATAGTCACTGCTAACAAATACTATAAACATATTATTCTCCTTCTTTCCTAACGTATGTTGAAACCCAGTATTTTGACATTTTCCATCTGACTTCCTGTTACAATTCCACACTCACTTTTTAATACACATTGACAGCATGTAATTTTTCCAGAGTTATAAACACAGAGACTATGAGATTCAGATTCCCATAGTTTGTTTTCACAGTGCACTACCTTTTCCCATATAATCCCCACTTCAACCTTCTAAATCAAGTAAAGACACTAAACAAGTCTGCTGTGCTAGAAATTGTAAAGAACAAGTTGGTTTATATAACTGTAAGCATGGCACAGGGGTAGTTCTCTTACTGAGATGATCTTTATGCTATTTTGGTCTCATGACAAATTAGTGTTTTTGAAATTATTATTATTACTGAATAGCATTCTTTCCAAAATACCTCAGCTGTTGAACATTTAACTGCTAGTTTGCCTAGAAGGCAGAAAAAAAACCCAATTTGACTTTATTATAAACAAACTTCTTTGCAACATTAAGCAAATTAACTACATTTAAAGTACTTGATTTGTGAAAGAAAATGTAAAGCAAATCTTTTCAAAAACCACATTGTCTTGCCTTCTTTGTAATTATTGAATCAAAGAGGGATTCATATTCCAATACCTTAAACTGCAAAAGGTCTTCAACATCTGTAAGACAGCTCTTCTAAACAGACAATCTAAATAGCCTTAGAAGATCTTGCTGAGGCTTAATAACTAATTTATATAGGATATATACAGCCAATGGCCCTAACTGTCAAATATTCTAGGTGATCATGTCATGTAACAATAATCCTTTCCTATACCACATATAGAGATGAGGTTCTACAACATTCTACAAGTTACATAAACAAAACCAAAAAAAACCCCAAACCCTTCATTTTAGGGATATTCCTCCAGAAGCCACAGAAACGATCAAAGGATAAAATCAACCACAGAAACACAGAATTTTTACAGTTTCTTTAGTCTCAAAATCATGCATACTAGGAAAGCCTATGGAAGTATCAACCAGTATAATTAATTTGCCAGCTTATTAGCAGGGACACTAGCAAGATTACAGTACTGATTAAAACAGCTGAATTCTACTTTGTTTAATGGTGCTACTAAGAAAAAGCCACTGCACATGCTTCATAGACTGTGCTAAGGACAGCAGAATACCACCATTTGAATACTTGGCTTTTTAAAAATGGTTTCCATTAAATATATGCAGTCAAATCAATTTAGAGTTGCCTTGCAGCAATTTAGAACAATTCAGCAGAAACTTGTTTGTAACTAACTGAAGCTTTTCTTTAGTATAATTCACCCTTTTAGTGAATTCACACAAACACTTTTTTTTTAATTTAAAAAAAATGAATCAGTAAAGTTGTGTCTTTGCCACATACAGGACCCTAAAATGAACTTTCTCATTGCATTGCTTTTTATGTAAAACAAAGACCAGTAATTGATCAGGACTTCCATGTTGTTCTTATGAAATGAAAAACAAAGTTAACAGAGTTTAACAAAAAAAAAAAGAACAGGACTAAATCCTATTTAAGGTTTGGTCCACACCACTCCAATTCATTGAAAGGCACTACAAAGCACAGATTTCACTCTGAGTTTACATGCTGTTAGGATTTAACCCTGTCTTTTCAGGCCTTCTGACAGCACCTCATTCAGAACAGCCAGAGACAGTAACACATACAGGCGTAAACCATAACTCTCCTAAGGACCTACATCAGTATGGCTGCCAACACCCTGTGCAGACAAGGCCTAAGCAGCCATCTCTAGTGACTGTGGGAAGTACAAAGTCAGGGTCTTAAATTCAATGTGCAAACAAAAGAGGTATGCTTGATTTTTTCTGTCCAGCATAGTTTAAAAAGAAAAAAAATAATATAAATGTATCTTAAAGTGTAAAATTACGAAATATTAATCCCTTTGCATTTTAAAGTTGTATTTAATTTCATCTTAAACTACACTGAATTTTTTTTCTTGGTAATTTAAAATCACGTACTCTAACCAGTCTGTTGTATGGCCACATGAGCCTACAAACACTTGTGCTATAAAAAGGAAGGTGTCAGGTAACCAGGGAAACCGATTCTGGCAGGAGCATCAGTCTGTACCTACTAAAATTGACTAAGAAAACATGATTCATGCTTTCTTTAAGCTGTTGGAGTTACTTTGCATAAAACCTAAACAAAAGCTAAATTGACACCTCCAGATTTGGATTAGTAACATCTGAATAGTTGCAAACTTGTCAATAAAAAAAAAAAAATATTCGGAGACACCTTATATTTTGGAAGGGAAAAGAAGATGACAAACTTCAGCCAAAAACTCCAGCAGCAAGTAAAAACACTTGCTTCAATACCTTCTTAGATACTCTGTCTTTGTCTGGCTATACAACGATCAAATACTCACAACGGACAGCTGACTCCATGTTGATCTCAGGGGCTTATAGTGAAAAACAATCTTTTCATCTGATTTCTGCTCTCGGGGCTCAGACTCTTCATCGGAATCTATGTCCAGAGCTTTTTCTTTATAGTTCTGATATAATACAGCATTTTCTATAAAACAACAACAGTATGTCATTAATTGCTAGAAAGTTAGCTTAGTTGCTTTCATAAAAATTCTAAGTAACATTTAAACAATGAAAGAAACCAAAATGTCAATGTGCCGTTCACAAACTCCACCAGACAAAGATAGTATCTTATTTAGGATGGACAATGGTGCAGTACAGTAACAATGGATCACTGTACCACTACCAAAAAGATCCACACTGACTGAATTAAAGAACAGATGTGTCCTTTGTCAAGAAAAAACAGAAAACAATTTTTTCTTCCTTGGTTTGCTGCACAATGTTTCATAATTAGCCAGCAATTTAAAAACGGAACAAGCACGTCAGTAAAGCAGAGTCACTAATCTGGAGGTCTAGCTATTTTCATCTACAAGACGATTATAAATCCACTACCCATGCCAACTTTTATTCTGTCAGCTTTAAATACCGTCTCCGCACTTCACTAAGAGAAGGAAATGATCCAAATTTCAGAAATTTGAGGTCAGAACTATTCCATATAGAAACTTCAAAGCTTGCTTGAATAAGCATGAGGCCTATGAACCTTAAGACAAAATACACTCGTTACCTATTTCAGTACTGCCAGTATTAATTCAGTAATATTAAAGGCAAAGAAACACAGGTGTGGAGCATACCTTTTCCATTTCTCAACCTCCGTGACCACACACCCTTTTCTAAAGCAGACAAAAAAGGACAGAGAAATTCAAGACCATAATAACCCACAGACGGATTAAGCTGTTAAGAAAGCAAGCTCTAAAAGGTACTTTAGAGATGGGCCAGGCTTTGGACAATATCCAATCTTCCCCTACAGGAGAAAGGGGAAAGAAGTGAAAGGTCTGACTGCTCCATGCACAGTTGCAACTCCTGAGGTCTTATGCCAGGCTGGGTGGATCTGTTCCACCTGCTCGGACCATGCAGCCCTGGCTGAGTATTATACAAAGATCTGGCCTTTTGTATTTGTTCTTTGGAATGTGTCTACATAGTTTATACACTTTTAAGACAGGAAATTGTGTACAGCAACTGAATTCTGAGAGGCATTACGGAGAAAGTTATTAGTTGGGATCAGTCCAAGATAGAAGGGAGCCATTGGAAGAGAATCTAGAAAACGTCACCAGGAGACTGTGTGAGAAAAGATGAAAATAAGAGTAAGATAGGGGCTGATGCAAATAGAACAAAGTGGCAAGTCTTGAAAATAGAAACAAGAGGAAAAGGAAGGTAACACAGCAGCTGAGATGACCTTAAGGAGGCATTAAGCAGAGAAAAGCCAAGAGAGTAGCAGTTATTATAACGAAACTTCCATGGACTCATAGCCAGGAAAGAATTTTTTTCTTGTTGAAATATTGGGAAAATCAGCAAACTTGGCAAAGCCCAGAATTAATGAGTAACATACAAAAGCAGATACATGGACAGTGTTTTTCTGACACTTCAACTTGAAGCCTAGGTAGCAAGAGAAGAAAAGGATTACAAAGTCAAAAGAATTCATCCCAGCACCCTTGCCTTATGAGGAAAAGAGAGAAATAGCTGCATGAACCATAAACTCAGAGAATAACAATTCAGGTGTCTGCTGCAAGTGATGACCCCAAACCCGTAAGTTGATCCACAAAAGCTACATCTTGCACCTGGGAAGAGTCACAGGGAATAGGCAAGAAAGCAGTCCCAACTGGAGGAACAAGCCTCATCTGCATAATTCTACAGAGCTGTTCGGGCTGAGATAGACACATCAATCAGTTCATCTCTTAGGAGGGACAGGAGTTTAAGTTGAAAAGAAGCCCTTCAAACAAAAACCCATTTTTAGCCTGCCATTCTGTATTCTTTAAAATATTCCCTAAAGTATGTCTAGTGCCAAAATTATGGTTCCGTATTTTAGTCAATTTACTGAAAAACAAGGTACTTAAGTCTTTGACTACATACGAAAGAAGTGTGCAAAATGATCCTGAAGTTCATTTCTCTTGTGATTGAGCATATTTTCAAGTCTGTACAGAAAAGGGCTTACCTTCCCCATCAAATGTCCCTTGTCCTTTCAGCATTTTCTTCTGATAATTTTAACAGGAAAGAGATATATACACATTAAAAGAAGAATGCAAAATAACCAACAGTAACAAGAACTTCTGTTTTATTTGATACTTAGACACCAAATTAACAGGCCCTAATCTATAAACTTCTGGTGTTGGACAAGTATTCAGGAAAACAATTGTTTCATCACAGAAACTGAAAAGCTACTCTAGTTTTCCCTCTCTCATACATTGTTTATACGTATTTGTCCCGAATGCTTCATTTTTCCTATGTTTCAAAAGCATAGTATACTAGCTTTACAGGAGTTCAGTGAACTTGCAACTCATTGCACTGTCACTGGGCTTTTCTATGGGGATATAAGGTACATGACTGAGCGGCTGTCTCTTTCCACACACTCTGCAAAGAACAGCCACATTAAGTATTTTGTAAACTAACGTTTTGAGACCAAAACAAACCTTTGAAATAAAACAGCTGTTTTGGTGCAACAAGTCCTATGGTCTAAGAAGTCTATTTAAAAAAATGCTACTAGCAAAAAGAGTTGTGTGTGTAAAGACAGGACAATGTCATGTCCTCCTATTTTAAACATAACTTACTGTTAAAGTCTGCTACCAAAACAAACCACCTCCCTACTCAGTAGTAGTTCACAATTTGGTCGATTACTATTTCACCACTTGTGAAATAGGATTTTCACAAAAGCTTCCATAACCATAATTTTTAATTTGGCTGAAAATTGTCATAAAGCTGGTAACTATTTTAATACCTACAGCATTAGCCCTTAGCCTGGAGTACTTTATTACACAATTCCAAACACTCCGCAGAAATCTACCAATATATGTTTTAAAAAGTAACAAATTATATTTAAAAAGAAGGAAATACAAGATTACAATATGGTATGTTCAAGTAAAAGAATATTTTCAGTAAGTCTTTGTAATTTAATTTTAATACATTAACATTCAATATAAATCTACTACTCCTAAGGGATTACAACCAAGAATTAAAAACAGGCATTCTGCTCTTACTTGCAGGCATTAAAATTAAGCTACAAAAAGATACCTGAAGTGGTACTCTCTCAATCTAAAAATCACACTCCAATTTTTAAAAATACTTTAAAAGTAACATCTCAGAGGAGTAAGGGAGGAAGTTCATTTTTCTGTCAGTCTGTCTACTCTAGCAGGCAGACTTTATTAAGTCAATGTCTCTTTTTTTCCTGTGTATTACTTTCTGGGAAACAGGTTTTAAAACATCAGTTTGACTGTGAAAGAAAAGATGTGCTGGGGAATCCAGCAGGAAATGCGAGCATGAGGCTGTCATCAACACATTTTTGAGCTGCCCAGATTTCAACAGAATCGTGTCCCTGAAGCCTCCGCCACTTTACTTTGAAAAACAATGCTTGTAAGTGATCTGTGAGACTCCTCAATAACTACAAAAAGTTCTGTGGTAGCAAAAAGCAAACTGAAAAAAACCCAGCATTTATGGAAAACATAAGAGATTGCAAATCACGCTCCTGTGTAGTCTACACCATGCAAATCAACCTGTCACCGATCAGCACAACTTACCTTTATCCTCCCCAGGCTTGAAAATTTCTCTTTATCTTCAACAACTGCTTTAAGTATAGGCTGGGACATTCTGTTTTTTTTCTTAAAATTAGAAGAGCTGTCGAAGTCCACGCCGCTCACCACCGCTCTACGGTAGGATGTCGACCTCAGGCCGCGCCTCAGGGTCCCTGGGCTGTCCAGGTCGCCCTCGGCCTCTTCTTCCTCATCGGCTACCAAAGGCACGCTGAGACTCTCCACCATGCTGCGAACCTTCAGCACCCTCTTGCTCGTCTCCACATTCTGGCTGCTAGCTTTGTTCGTCACCTTTATTTCGGAAGCCAAATTCTTGGGAATGATCTGCTGCGTGCCCACTTTGAGAGCGGCGGGGCTGTTGGTGCTCAGGACCACGGGCTGCTGCTCCACGGGCTGGTCCTGAGGGGACGCTGGCCTCTGAGGAGTTGCGCCTTGCTCTGGGGACATCGCCTGGGAAACCACGGGGGGCCTCAGCGGCACTTTTTCCGGTATTTTGGAAACCCGGTTGCATGGCAAGGGCAGCACTGCCGCGTTGTTGTTATTGGCGGAAGGTGTGTTTCCAGTAGGTGAGGGCTGAGGGCTGGCTGTAAAAGCTATCTGCTCTTGCTGCGGTGTAAGTGCTGACTGACTGGAAATCCTCAGGGGATGACCCAGCTGGCTTCCTGGTGAGGTAATGGTGCCGTTGGCAGTAAAACCGGCAGAACTGTTCGAAACCAGAGCGAGCACCCGGGAGGACCGCTCAGGAGACAGCTCGGGGGAGACCGCTTTACAGGCTGGAGGCCGCACCTTCCCGTTGGACACCGATCCCATGCTGGAATTGAAAAACGAGGGGCCCCTCCGGAGCACTCCGCTGCCCGCGCAGGTGCTGACGGTGCCGGCAGGCTGAGTCACGGTGAAGGTGCACCTGTCCTCCACGGGAAAGTCGGTGAAAAGCACCCCGTTGGCGCTCTGGTACGACTGAGGCCGGGGTTTGCTCCAGGCGCGGGGCTGCGGCCGGGAGGTCGACCTCTTCCACCGCGGCGCCGCCTCGTCGTTGGAGAGAT